GTTTCAAAAGGTCAATACACTGTACTTCATTTCCACTACTCACCTTTGCAATTATTCACTTCACTGACAGTATCTTGACCTCTCTCTATACTTCCACCATTATTCAGGTCTTCCTATTAAAAGGTAAAATTCAGTGGAGAAAAGGTAAAAAATCTGTGGAGACATTTTATGGACTGAAAATATTCACATTTGAAGGGAAAATTAAAGATCTCAAGATTTCCAATGTTGCAAATAGTTTCTTATCTTTTGCTTCCTTTATAAATTGAATTCTGGAGTTCCACATGAGAGCATCTAAAATACTTATTCTTTGTACAAATATGACAATGTATATTTTCGGGAGGAAAAAAACCCCTGAAATTCTTTTCAGTGGAGATGTGAGAGAGGTATCACTGCTGTTCAGTCAATTTGCGTTTTTAAACTGAAGTTTCAGTAATACATTTCAAAATGAAAAATAGGTATTACTTTTCCAGTGAAGCATTTTTCTGTGAAAAGTAAAAGGAAAGAGTTGAATTTAAGGCAGCAATAGATTCATTTAAAGGATGTTTGTTTGTTTGTTTCTTTGTTTGTTTTTCATGAAATGAAGTACGGGAAAAAAATTAAAAATGCCAGGTTCCATTTAAAGTAGCACAGGGACATAGAATCATTTTCAATTGAAAAACAAGCAACATTTCAAATCATGTTTCTGCAGATAAACAGATAAGCTTCTTTTTTTTTTTTTTTTTTACTTCTTTTGTTTTGCCTTGTGTTAATGAGAAGAATACATTCTCAAAAATCTAGTTAACACCTAGCATTGCCTTTGGTAATTGCACTTAATCTTCCCTGAAAGATAAAACACACATTATATAAAGAACCTTCTTACAACATCTCAAAGAGGACTGAACAAACTTGGATGTGTTCCGAAAGACCATAGCCCTACAAGATTTTTTACAGAAAATTACATTAAAGACATCACAAATTATCTATTTTTGTTTGTTCTTCCTAACTTAATTCCAGACTTGTTTTCTTGCTTTGCTTTAATTTCCCTACTCATTTGGAAGACTGACATGAATGACTGAGAAGTAGGGTAGATTTTATTTTTCTGACTTTATTCTGGAGTTCTTTATATGTTTGGTACACACACAGGTAGGGAGCTAAACACCACACAAGTGTTCACTCAGTCCCCTCCAGTGTGATGAGGGAGAGAATCAGAAAAAAAATTAAATCTTGTGAGTCGAGATAAAGACAGTTTGATAGGACAGAAAAGGAAGAGAAGTTAAAGAACATACAAAACAAGCGACCCACATAGCACCAGCTGACTGATGACCAGACTCTGGGAAGCAGTCAGCCCCTCCCAGCCAACTACCCCTATGTGTCTTTTTTTTGACATGGCATCATATAGAATAGAATATCCCTTTGGCTAGTTTGGATCAGCTGTCCCCTCCCAGCTTCTTGTGCAGTCTCGGCCTCCTTGCTGGCAGAGCATTATGAGAAGCTGAAAAGACTGACTTAGTGTAAGCACTGCTCAGCAACAATTAAAGCATTCCTGTGTTATCAATATTATTCTCATACTAAATTCAAAACACAACACTGTACCAGCTACTAGGAAGAAAATGAACTCTATCCCAGCTGAAATCAAGACAATTAAATATGCAAATTTATCATTATTGGACTCATAAACATCTTGAGTGAAATTAATTGAAATTTTACAGACACAGAGGTAAGTAAATTTATCTTTGACATCAGATCTTGGTTTGGTAGTCATCTTCTGCTTAATTACCTGATG